AAACATTACAGTTTCTGTTTTTAAAAACAAAGACCAATTTAATAATAAAAAAGAATAGAAACATTAGGATTAAGCATTTAAAATAACACATACTCATGAACCAAAAGTTTGAAAGTGGTGGGAGAATAGTACTTCACCTGAAATTGAAGACAAGTTGAGACTTATTTTTTTCCGGAATCTTCTGGGCCATCTCTGGCCCTTTGAAGAAGAAAGAAAAGAAGTCAGAGATAAATGACAGATTATCCAAGATTAAGAGTTAATGTGTACTGTGTAGCTTGCAGTGTATGTCTCTCTCTCTCTTTCTCTCTTCCTATCTCTCTCTCTCTTTCTCTCTTCCTCTCTCTCTCTCTCTCTCTCTGTCTGTCTCTGTGTGTGTGTGTGTGTAATTGTGTTTTGGGGAAGAAGGCTAAAGCAATACCTCAGCTTTAGAGTATTTGGTGTAGAATCATGTGAACCAGAGCACAGATTGCAGCATCTACCTACCACACTGAGCATCCCTGTCAAGTGCCTGTAACCCAGCCCTGAGGGGTGAAGACAGGACACTCGCTGGGTTTGACTGGATTTCTGCCTACCTGAGAAAACAGACCTTGGTTCAGGGAAAGACCCTGTCTCAAAGGAGAAAAACAGTGAAGAAAGGGATACTCGTGGACTTCTTCTGACCCCAGTAGGTGTGCATGCAATCCTGAAACACACGAGTCTAAGTTCATATAGATGGACATGAATAAAATACTTTAAATTATTTTGTATAGATTGGGGTTGAAGAGCAGGCCTCACAGTGAAGAACATTTGCAGCTCTTACAAGGACCTGTGTTGGTTCCCAGTATCCACTCCAGGCGCCTCATAAATCCTTGAAATTCTAGCTCCAAGGGATCAACAACCTGCTCTATCCTTGATGTGCATCTCTGTATACACACTAATACACACTAAAAGTAATTGTGAAAATCTTAAAACTGTGTAGTTATTATCTGTGCCCCTTTTACCTTTTATAATGATGCATTTATTATTACTTTATATGCATGAGTGTCTTACCTGTATTATGCATGTGCACCACATGTGTGCCTGGTGCTTGTAGAACCCAGAAAAAAAGCATGGGGTCCTCTAGAATTGGAGTTAGTTATGAGTTCTTGGTAGGTGCCAGGAACCAAACTCAGTCCTCTAAAATCGCAGCTAGTCCTCTTACCCTTTCAACTTTCTTTCCATCCTTATTAAATATGTTGAATGTTGAATGTTTATTAAATGATGCCTGTGAAGCATATCTAAATGATACAGCATGATATAAGGAACACTGGCATATATACTGCCCAGATTACGATAACAAACATTATCAGTATCTAAACCAAATCCCATTCCTTCCCTTCCTCCATGAAAGAACCTGTATTTCATATTTATGTTTTGCATTAGTTTATGTTTGCAACCACATGAATTGGAATTCTAACTATATTGTTCAGTTTGGAAGGCTGATGGGAAAATAAGTTTCCTTTTTCTTGGTTTAACATTAGGTTTGAGTGAGGTAGATCTTGGATTAGATTCCCTACTCTGGACACTAGACTTTAATTCTCATCTTGCACAGACCATGGAAAGGGAGGTCTCATTTCTCAGCTCTCCTAGGTGCCCTTGGCCTGCAGCCTAGCTCAGGGCTTTGCTGGCTCTCTCCAACGTTGAGTGAGGATTTTTGACTTAACTATACTTGCCTAATATTTCACTAGTACAGTTAAAATCTTTGTTTTCAAATTTCATTTATTTATTTTAGCAGTCCTGTAAGAAGTAAGGTTTTTCTGCCCGCCGCCTGGTCTTGTCCTGCCGCCGGGCCGCCAGCCCCAAAAAGCACACAGAGACTCTATATTAGATACAATTCTGTTGGCCAGGTACTAGTTTCTTATCGGCTAGCTCTGTCTTAAGTATTAACCCATTTCTATGTATTTCCACGTGGTCTTACCAGCAAGAGGCGGCTGGCGGTTCTATTCTCTCCAGATTCTCCATCTTGACCCCTCTTTACTCATTCCTCTTTCCTCCTTGTCTCCTAGTCCCTCCTATCTTCCTTTCCTATTGGCCAACAGTGCTTTATTCATTAACCAGTATGAGAAACATATACAGAATGACATCTCCCATCATCTCCTCTTTTCTGTCTAAATAAAAAGAAGGGTTTTAACCTTAACATAGCAAAATATATCACACAACAGTTATCAAATAAGAATCAGTTAACAATATTTAGTCCATTAACATTTAGCAAGATTTAAGAAAATATTCCATCATCTATCCTATCTTTGTGTCTAAAGTCTAAGTAACTTATCTTTAATACTAAGGATACTAACCTTAACTATCTGTCTTCAACTCCCTCAAAGACCACAGAAGGATAGTATATAAACTCTAGAAATGACAGAGACAACTCACTGCCTGGTCACCTGAAGTTCTTATGTAAAGTTCCATCTTCAGCCTATAGGCCATAGTGTCTCTAGCAGATTCTTCAGCAAAGCAGGAAACGTTAAACTGTCTTCTTGTATTGGCAGTTTGTCAGTCACTTTTCTCTGTGTCCTGCAGGAACGCTGTAGCAATGTCCATCTTGAATTAGCAGTCACTTTTCTATGGGTCCTGCATGTCCAGTTTATACAGCATAAAGTCAAACACTTCAAACAAGAGCAGTATCTTGTCCAAATAGCTAGTCTTGCCATATTGGAAGCAAACTCCATAACGAGTTTCTTCAATGTCCATCTTCCTTTCTGACGCAGGTGGTGTTGCCAGGAACAATTATGTCTCATTGCCAAGAAAAACCCTAAACCATTTTAAATGCCATATTCTATAGGTCTTTGAAAGGTATGAAGAATGCCTATCCATCTCAAATACATGTCTGTATATCTAGAAATCTTAACTAACTTAACTATAATATCTGACTATCATAGGTACTATCTATAATCTGTGTTGAATTGTGCATTACATTTCTAAATGAGCAATATAAAAACAATACCTAAACAAAAGGAGAAATATACATATCACAAAATTGGCCTTAAATTGTATCAATAAATGCAAATCCATTCTAAAACAAAGTATTCATATCTATACCATAATCCCCTTCTTACCTTTAAAAAGATATTGGTTATGGTCATTAACCATTTATAACCAAGTCCATTTAAATGAAAACAAACATTTATAAACACTATTTGGGAATTTGGGCGTTGTTCTTTCCAAACTACTTCCTGCTGGTAAGGGGTGCTGTCATGGGGGATTCTAAGAAGATGCAGAAATCCTGGCTGTAGTCTGCAAGGCTGCTTTGTCCAGCTGTTTTGAATGTAGGATCACCTGGTACTCTGTTTCAGGTGCTCTGGCTTGACCAAACCACATTAGTCTGGAAGGAATCCACAGCTTTTCATTTTCTGTGGAAACAAAAATAGAAATCCTTTTTCCCAGTAACTTGTCCTTGAATTTAAATTTTGGAATCAAAGCATTTTTAAAATATATAAATTGAATTAATCCAGCAGCATTTCCTTTAACAGTTGTTGTTTCCTCAGCAGTCAAACAATACAAAGACAATATAATACCGTACAGTTTACAAATTCTCTCTGAGCTCTCCATTTTTAAGTGACTTTATTATTACTCTCTTTCTTCTATTTTTTTTTTTTTCCTTTTTCGAAACAGAATATCTCTGTGTAACTTTTATCTGTCCTGCATTTACTCTGCAAACCAGGTTTACTTTGCAAATCACAGTGATTTGCTTGCCTCTTGTCTTAGGAGTGCTGGGATTAAAGGCGTGTGCTACCACACCCAGCTGTTCTCTGTCTTTTTAAAACCAATTTTTAATTCTCTCCCAAGCCTACATGTTTTTTTAAAACACACTGTAAACCTTTAGAGATTTACTTAATGTGTATCTGTGTTTACTGTGAATCTTTATCTTTTTTTTAGCCATGAGTCTTTATCTGTTAAACAACAATATTACTAAAATGAAAGTCATAGCTGTGTTAGCCACACCAAAGATGGCGGCAGGTACTTTTCCTGCCAGCAATGAAAGCTGTGGTCACTGCCCTGGTCAACGCTGCCATCCAGCCGCATGCTGCCGGCTAGGAGATGTGGTCACTGCCATCGCCATCTCTCATACACACCAGTAAATTGTTAGCAGTGCTTCTTAAAGCCATGCAGTTTTTTGCCGCTTATGCTGAGTCAGGAAACCTCTCTTAAAGGAGCCGTGCAATCTGCTTGTCTCTCGCAAGTCAGAGTCCAACTGAGAAAAATGCTGTTACCAAGAAACCTTGCTTGTCTCTGTTCTTTTGTTTCTAAAACACTTTTTTAAGCTTTTGTTAAATTTTAAGTGGAAGTTCTTATTAGCCATGTGGGCGCCATTTGTAAAGAGTATGGTTTTTCTGCCCACCGCCTGGTCTTGAATTTCTCAGCTCTCCTAGGTGCCCTTGGGCTGCAGCCTAGCTCAGGGCTTTGCTGGTTCTCTCCAACGTTGAGTGAGGATTTTTGACTTAACTATACTTGCCTAATATTTCACTAGTATAGTTAAAATCTTTGTTTTCAAATTTCATTTATTTATTTTAGCAGTCCAATCTGAATATCCCTTCTAAGACCTTAACTATATATATAATTCTGGAAGTAGAAAGCTTTATTTGTTAGTTTCAACAACATTTTCATAACTTTCCATAATTTCATGTACGTGCATGAAACACATATGTGCATACATATACACACACACACACACACACACACATATACACACACTATTGTTTTTGGAAAAGGTCATCTTCATTATTTACAGTGACTTTTATTTTTCAATTAAAAGCATTGGCTGTTTGCTTTTCCAGTCATTGCATAATAATTGAATATATATATATATATATATATATATATATATATATATATATATGATTCCATTATTTGACATCTTAGAGTTCACTTTTCTTTTAGGAATGAACTTGGTTGTAGAATAATAGGAATGAATTTAATAATTGCATTATAATTGTGTTTAAAGGTTTCATGTGTGTGTTACATATGTATGTATTTCCTTCTAGGCTGCTACCATGAATACTAAGAATCCTGACTGCAAATTCTTGAGACTGTTTAATGGATATGTTTACAGTGGTGTGGAAACCTTGGGGAAGGAGCTGTTCATGTACTTTGGCCCAATAGCTTTACGGTAAGACAAACCTGTACACTACATCATGATGTTCTATGTTTAAATGTATGTGGGAGCCTGCAGCTTGCCAGGTTTTGCGTTTAATTATGTAGAAAGTGTTCAAGTGTTCCAGATTTAGGAGAGCTCCAATATGAGAGGATTCTCTCATGGAAAGAAATAAGTACAAGAATACCTTGTGTTGTCCTCATTACTTGGAGTCCATTCAGTTTGTCTTTCTTAGGAAGAAATCATTGATAGGCTAACTGCTAACTGGGCTTCTCTTATGCATCAGAGCCTTGCTCTGTTTTGATTTTCAATGAATATTAATTACTTTTGCTACCATGATTTATTTTGCATTCGTGGAAGACTCTAGTTTGGTTTAAGTGTATTACTAGATTTTTTTTCCTGTCTCCTTTCTTTGTCTGAAGCTGTGAATCAAATTTGGGAACTCAATTCGTAATCCCACAGACATGCTATAGTTCTTGTGGGAATATATGGATAATATATTAGCAAAGAAGGACAAGCCATGTGGTGTGTGTGTGTGTGTGTGTGTGTGTGTGTGTGTGTGTGTGTGTGTGTGTGGCCTTAATTGACTTGAAAACAATTAGATTTGCATGACCACCTATCTACTTGCAGGCAAAAGCCAGGTCTATGAGATGATATGTCTGTCAAATCATAGTGTGGTTTTAGAGGTTAACCTCAGGCTTAAAAAACTGAATATGGGTTTGCTTCCTGGAACCTATTTACTTATTTATTTATATATTTTCACCACCCCCTCCTCCCATCCCCCCCCACCCCAATTCCACATGTAGGGCAATGCCATCCAGGTGGGGTATGTAGATCTGTCAAATCATTTGAAGTAGAGACTAGGACTTCTGTCTCTAGGTTAAGGCAGTATCCCTCCATGGGGGATGTGTCTGCAAGGTCCTTTTGTGCACCAGGAATACATCATGGTTCCACTGTCTGAGATCCCTTAGTCCTTCTAGCTGAGACCCATATTCAGGAGTTCTGAGTCAGTCCCATGCTGGATTCCCAGCTATCAGTCTGGGGGCCCGTTAGCTCTTCCTTGTTCAGGTCAGCTGTCTCTATGTGTTTCTGCAATCTGCTCTTGTCCTCTCCCTCTGCATCTGGATTCTAGTTTGACTCAGTGTTTAGTTATGGGAGTTTGCTTCTGTTTCCAACAGGTACTAGATGAGAGCTCCATGATGGTGGATAAGTTAGTTGTTGATCTCACTATCAGGCAAGGGCATTTATGGTAGCCATTCACGTTTTATTTATTTATTTATTTATTTATTTATTTATTTATTTATTCTTTTTTCATGGAACCTTTTTATTTATCTGTTTGTATATTTGTTTGTTTTTGTGTTCCTTTAAAACATTGACCAGCTATCACCTGAAAAGGAAAAGAGCTGTTCCTAGATCCCATGCCTCTGTCTGAAGGTGACTAACACTCAGCGAGGTGACATGTCTCTCTGATTATTATTTATTGTGTCTCTTCTACTGCATATTTAGAGTACTTCAGGTTCCTGTAATTGCTTCCCCTGTGAGGTGTTCTCTTAGTTGTCAGCATCTTCTATCCTTGAGCAAAGTTGTCACATCATGGCTTTCCTTAGTCTGGAATTGATAACATCAGCATATGTCTGCTGGTTCATACACTAATGATATATTGCCAGTTACATTATTACTTCAGTAGATTGATGTGATTGAAGAAAAACACTTAGATTGGACAGAGTCACACACAAAGAAATCCATGCATGATAGTCACGAACATTGATATGTTATTGATTCTTGGTGTTAGATGTAGATTTATTTCGGTAGGATGATAGGGAGGCTTTTATCGAATGTTCCCCACCAGACTGATAAAGAGGGAATCATTTCTCTTTGAAGAGCTGTCAGTAAGTGTTCCATGAAGTTCTAAACAAGGGCAATCACATCTTCAAGCTATGTGAGCGAGGTTCTTCCCTGGAGAGTACCTCTCTCAGTATATGGGTGGGAAAAGAATTCAACGGCTTACTTACTTTGAATTTCCTGCGGCCCTAATGACTATTCTATGTAACAATTCAAGGTCACTGGCAGATGTTGGAATATGAACTGAGTGATCAAAAATCAGCTGCATCCCATTTGACAATATGACTTTAATTTTTAAAAAATGCACCCCTGACCTATGCTTCTTAGGGAATAAATGACTCCATCAAAGAGAGATGATGTTTGTGTGAAATTGCAAGTCTGTGCACTATAGATAGAAATGTAGTCTTCATTTTTGACTTGCCTTTTAGCCACAGCCCTTGTCTGTATCTCAGAGAGTATATAGCATATATAGCAAGAATCAAGCTTAGACGATTTCTTTCAGTTTTCCAAATACCAAGGTTGGCATAATCGAATTCGCTTTGAATATTAGTCATAATGCATGTTCAGTCACAGGGAAATTATCAACCTTCAGGGATTCATTTGTTTTTAATTGTGAAATATACTGTAAGAGAATAACTCTGTGGTCCACTCTAGGAGAGTTGGCTGTGCAAAAAGCTCCACTTAAGAAAAATCCAAACTAGAGAATGGAATATTTTTGTTAGTAAATGCTTTATCCAAGGGATCTCAACAATACCATGGAATACTAAACAGTGTTTCACATGAACTTCTTTTATAGGCATGGTTGCACTGTTGTGAGATTAATGTATATATTAACACTCTTCAGCTAAAACAGGGTGAAATAATTTTTGTCTTTATAGTCTGGTACGTGCATATATAAATGGGTGTGCATACCATAGCACACATGTGGGGGTGAGAACAAATTTGTGGAGTCTGTTTTCTTCCCATTTTATGTTCATGCCTGCAAACTCAGGTCACCATGCTTACATGGCAAGGGCCTTTACCCACAGAATTGTCTTGACAGCCCAAATTCTTACTATAAATGAAACACATGTGACTACAAACAAAGAAATATAAAAATGTACAATAATCCCACTAACAAGTCTAATTTGTATTTACTTTAGATGTGTATATGGCCAGCACAGCATGTATATGAATCAATGTATCTATTCATTTACTCAGATCTATACAGCGTAACTTTCACCATCAAAATGGGTATAACTGGTCCAATTTTAAGTACTTGGATCTTTCCAATATCTGATTTATGTGACTGTGACTTGCAATCCTTTTCAGAGACTAGAAACTAAGATTTTATAGGTTTTTCCATTGGAGTTTCAGAACCAGTTTTGTAGTTTAAGTGGTATGAACCTCACATCTGATATACATTAGATAACATAACCATTTCCCTGGTTTGCTAACCTGTCTTCTTGGGATCTATAAACTACTAATAAAGAGTTTTACAGCTTAAGACAGTTTTCATATTCCATCACAAAACATGCAGGATGACCTTAAGTATGATGAGAATTCTAAATTAAACCATATATGTCATAATCATGAATACTTTGTGTTCCCACACATATGGGTGTTTTTCTTACATGTGTGTATGCTTACCATGTGCATGTATGTCTTATGGTGCTGGTAGATGACATTCAAGTTTCCTGGGACGGAAATTGTTGACGATTGTGAGTCACTATATGCTAAGAACTCAACTCAGTTCTTCTTAAAACCTGAGCCATCTCTCCAGTCCTTGGAATTTTACTTCTTTGAAAGATTGTGTGGATGTGTGTGTGTGATGCATGTATATGACTATGGATGTGTCCATGTGTGATTATGTTTTTTCTTCCTCCCTGTTTCTATCCAGTTATCCTGACTGATGCTTTTGTTGTGGCAATTACATTTTCTCTAGTAAATTTCTTTGCAAAGTTTTTGAGAAACAGTTGACCTCATCTGTGTATATTTCTGAGATCACCATGTTCTTTAATGGATCCAGGTATCCATTTTCATCAATAATACAGCTTCTTAAAGTAGTTTTAAAGTAAGTTAAAAATGGTAGATGACTCATCTTGCTTTATGCATTTTTTAAAATGTTTTTATTTGTTCTTTGAGAATTTCTTACAATATATTTTGATTGTATTCTTTCCTTTTCCCAAGCTCCTTCCAGACCTTTCCATTCTTTCTACCCAGGGGAAGACTGGTACTGGCTGTTGGATATACTGGAAATACTTGTCCTTTCCATCATGTTCGCTTTCCTCAATTGATGCAGGGAGGCAAGTTTTTGAAGTTAGAAAACACAGTAACATTAGCTCAACTTCCTTTGCTCTTGCTCACCCAGCATTCCAAGGTGTAAGCAATTCAGCATACATTCAGAAAATAGATCTGTTCTAAATAATACTGTTTGTTGTAGGTGATACTTGTTTGCTTTGGTTCTTTGGTCCTCCAGGGAGCCCTGTGTATATGTTCATGTCTTTCATTGCCCCCTTGTGGTAGGAATAGGAAAGAGAGTTTCAGGGACATACTCCTGCAATTTACACATATGGTGAATTAGATTCAATTTTGAGGGATCCTTGTGTTCTTACCTTACCCTCCACTTTGCTATGATAGATTATACTTTCTGCATCTTGCTAGACAGTCTTTTACTGAGAATGTCTTTGTTTTCATTTGAGATGTTGTCCTAAAGTTTTGTGTTTGTATACTCCTTTCTATTTAATTCTGGCATTAGGATATTGTCTTCCAACAAATTGTTAATTTCTCTGTCCTTTCTGATTTTGGTGTGTGTTTGTAATGAGACACTATTAACTCACTTATTATGTTTGGAGACCTTGGAGGAAAGGAGAAAGCAAAACAGATGATATTAAAAAATATAACAACCAATGTTAATATTGACTGTCAACTTAATAGGATCTAGAATCATCTAGAAGAGAAGACTCTGGGCATAATGGGGAAGGATTATCTAGATTAAATCAGCCTCTAGCCATGCCTGTAAAGGAGTATCTTGATGAAGTTATTTGAAGTATGAAAGCTCAGCTTAAAGAATAGCAGCCTGGGTACTAGGCTACTTAAGAAGGTAGGAATGTAGCTTAGTAGAACACAAATGACTTTCTTCTTCCTTTTCTCAGAGACAATGTGACTAGATTTTTCAAGCCTTGACTGCCTCT